AAAAAAAGACTATGGGTGATTTTTAGACTATGATCTCTCCTGTGACAAACAGTTTTAGCTCAGCTTTGCTCAGATTCAGAGAAAAAATTGTGTGGAAAGTATTAGCAAATAAATCAAAACTCACTTAAAATAAATATAAATATATACATTTTGTCAGTTTCAGTCTTGGTGTAGTTTTTGTTTTGCATTTGTATATTCCCTCCAAAAGCTAAATGAAACAAAACAAAACAAAAAACACCAAAACAAACAAAACAAAAAACAATACAAAACAACATAAAACACAAAACAAAACACCAACCCAAACAAAAAAACAACACACAAAACCATACAAAAACACAAAACAAAACAAATACCTGATCCTGGAATGTGGCTCCACCAAAAGCCCACACACATGCGAACACAAAGTATGTCTCATAGATTTCCCGTGGAGTGTCTGCCGGAATGTTCTCCGGAGTTACCAGACAATCCAACAAGGAGCACAGAGTCTGAGAAAAAGAGAGACATCAGTAAAGATTTGAAAACCACAGTATAGGCCTGTATGAATGAGTGTATCTGTGTGAATGGTACACCTGAACCATGCTGTTCTCAGTAATAGGAATGATCGTCTTAAAGGAGCTTCTCATTTTTTCAATACAGCGAGGGATGTATTTGTCAAACAGAATGGTCAGGTGTGCTCTCTCAGTTTGTCTCTCCCTCCGATCAATCCAACTCGTAACATATCTATAGACATTGAAGAAAAAAAGGCTGTACAACTAAGCCTAATCCATCACAAATATGAACCACTATGAATTAGATGGTGTAATTTGCACAGAAAGTGAATTTCTCACAGGTTCCAGCTAAGCTCCTGAGGATTGATGTACAGGATGCCAGCTCGGGACACGGTGGCAGGCGTGGCATGTTTCAAGTGGCTGATCTCAAACAGTAGTCTCATCGAGGGGGTGAGTGGGATACGTTCATTATTAGCCAGAGTAAGAACCTGCACAGAGATGCACAACATAACTACATCATTGCCAATATTCATAATTCCCTGTTTGCTGCAAGTGGAGTGTTTAAATGTGTCAAAATGCAATTTTAGTGCTTTGATTAATCAGCTGGATGCAAATGTCCTCATAAAAACATGCACAAACTGTGTGGGCTACCTTGTTGTCATCCATGACAGTGTTGAGAGACTCAATCCACATGGGGTCAATGTCTCCATCCAGAACAATCCACTTTGGCCCCCGAGTAAGAGTTGGGGTCAATGTCTCCATCCAGAACAATCCACTTTGGCCCCGAGTGAGAGTTACTGGCTTGATCCCGCATGAAATGTGACAATCAATAAACCTCATGAAGAGATTTACAATCTCAAAGTCTTACCGGGGAGAATGGATCTCATGTCTAAACTGTAAGTTATGTACTGTGAATTGGACAGGATCAGCTCTACAAAACATTGGATGCTGATGTACCATCTTTCCATTCCCGAGTGGCTGGATGAAAGAATCCAAACAGTTCATCATTGCTTATAGCTTTTGGGTTCAGATCATTCCAGAAAGGCATCTTTCCCATGTTGAAGTAGGTTTTGTGAAGAGTTTTCAGGATCTGTTTAGAGATTTTTTGTGATTATTGCACACTTTAAATTTACTAACTTTCTATTTTAATTTTTGCAAAAAAAAATTTTTGGTTGTTATAGATCAGATAATGTGAACAATACAAAATTCATATTTTAAATTAATATTATATATAATATATGTATGA